TAGGCTGAATAACGGACATACAATTTGGAGGAAAGAATAATATGAATACATTATCTTTAACTACTGAACAACAAAGAAAGTGAAGTATGTGCCGTACAGTTGTCTACAATTAGGACAATTTTTGCGTCATCAGGTAAACCAACCAAATTCTACCAAGGCTCGTGTATGAAAGGATTTTCAAACCAATCATTCATTAACACTTGTATCATATGTGCTCTTCTATTGTCACGATACATAACAGGAAAATCTTTACTCCTTTAAATGCTCAAAGTCCTGTATTATTTTCGTAAAGTTTATGCTTCCTGCAACATTTGCTAATTTATGCTAAATTATTGGTTCTTCAATAATGAGATATTCATTTAGTGCCGAAGTGAAATTAAAAATTGATAATCTCCACAGGAAAAAAATCAAATGTGCATGCATAGTGCATACAAAAAAAAAAAAAAAGTTGGTAGTTTTGAGGTTCAGATTTTAGATCATTCCAGATATTGGACGTCCAGATCTCGGACTTTGTACCGTAGTACACACTGAGCAAATCTGAACTAACTGGTCGAACACACACATATCTCTCATAGAAATGAAATTTTGAAATTTCTGTTAGCAATCGAACCTGAGCAAACCCAAGAATTTTCAATGAAACCCATGCAATTGTGTGATTTGTTTATTTGGGAGTTCACATGCTACCACTGATAAAAGAAATAGTTTGTGTGGCCTAAAATATCTCTTCTTCTAATGTGTCCCATGGAAGCTAAAAGGTTGGACCTCTTTTGTTTAATCAGTTAATACTTTTATTTAGTTTTGTTTTACATGAATATGTGATACATTACTAAGTTAACTTATATAGCATTATGTGCATTAATTAATTTTATTTTTATTATATTTAAAATTTAAATAAAGCTACCTTTCTCTACTCAAGATTTCAGTATAAAAGTGTACATAGAATATCTAATCAAATGTTAATATATCAAATTAAGCAAAGTAACAACTTTGTGTTTGGCATAGATTTTAATTACAACTCTTGTTAATTTCAAGAAGGATGAACAGGTACATGTCGTTCTTCATCAGGAACAAAGAAAGGAAGAGCCTATGTCTATATTTATTCCAAAATTAATGCAATATATTCATAAAATTAAGGCAAATATTAATATGTTTTACTGAATCTGTAAAACTTAGTTGCAGAAATAATAAGTATGTTAATCTTACTGATTTGTGTCAGCATATTCTGCAATTTTGATATTTTGCGAAATAGTGAGGGTTTTTTTTTTTTTAACATTATTTATGTTCATCATGTGTGTATATTGAAAAGCAGCATGTTCATATGTATCTATTTTATATCACAATTCTTGTTTGCACGTTTTTAGAATAAATTCCATACAGAATGTTTTTTGAAAAAAGTTTGTGGCAGCAACTTATTATTTGAAATGAGAAATATTGTTTGCTACTTTTAACTTCATTCTTGTTTTAAAATGTCACATGTAAACAAGCTGTGGATTTAAGGATATGTTTTTGTGCTTTCCAAAAAGAAATATTCCTTTTCCATAATTTAAGAAAATGTTGTAAAATAAGTGACATTAGAATTTCTAATTGTAAATGAGTAACATTACTAATCAGAAAGAGAAAAACCATCGTTCATTACTTCTACATGGAAAAAAAGACTCCAAACGAGATCCAAAAAAAAGTATATTTTAATATTTCTGAAGTTAATTTGTTGGTAACCACAGAAAACTGCTGGCACAGATAGATATCAGTTGCAAAGTCTTTAAACACATCTGTAGCAACAATAAATAAAATAATAAAAATTACCAACTTAAAAAACTAAAAAAATATTATTCACCAGCTTTTGCTGGGGCATGTGGCTCAACGCAGAATAATTTGTAAAACCCTGTTTGCAAAGTATTTAGCAGGAGGTAAATGAAAATAAATTGTGATCCTTATAAAGCATGGGTTTACCTAAATGACTGGGGGTAGCAGGTTATTTATTATTGAAAACGAAGGGGAAAAGTCTACTAACTTGATTCTGTCAATGCAGAGAAATTTCTGTAAGGGTATGATTGTTGCAGGTTTCTAATCCAGTGAGAAATTAAAACTAAGAAGAGTGGGGGGGGAGTGTTAAAATCAACTCAATATGCTATTGAGAAAGTTTTACATCTGATATTTACAGAAGAAATTCCATTTCTTTATTCCAATGACTTTCCAAGAAGGAAACTTCATCAAGATGAAGTAACAAATCATATTTCGAAAAGAACCACTGCATTCCTGTAACAAGTGAAGACTGATACAAGTATTGCATATATACCTTTTCAACATGAAGTCCCCTGATGTTTCATCTGTGGACTATTATGCCTCTGAAGAGCTCTTTTTAAATCCATACCCGCTGTGATTCATGGACTCTGGAAAGTAGTGGAAGAGTAATGGAAATTAATACCATTGGACATTTTATGAAAAGTCCTTCTATCATGGATACCATGATGCAGACTTATAGCCACCCCCTCAGAAAAAAGCAATTAGATTGAATATTAAAAAAAAACATTCTTTACATTTTAAATGTTAATTAAATGATTCTAAGATTGTTTTAAAAATGTGTAAATACCCTCTGTATTTTGTGAAGACCAATATTGTGCTATGTAGAACATAGATTTATTTTTTTTTTGGTGGGGAGGGGGACAAATGATGAACTTAAAATTTATGAATTGCTGTCGTAAGTAAATAGTATGCAAGTGCAAATAATAATAACATATGATAATTTGAATTTTATTAATAATTTCGAATTTCATAAATCCTTTGTTTTGATCCCAGTTTTCAATTAAATTAACACTCGGTAATGAGTTATCTCGTAACTAGCAAGTAAACTGATTGCCTATGGTGAACATTCTCATAGATGGCAGCAAAGGTGTTAAGCATGTTTTATTTAATCAATAGATTCTGCTCTTTAAAAAAAATCAAAAAGAGCAGATATTTTTTAGTAAAACATAAATTTAATGCTCACCCCCAATCTAGAAAAACTTGGAATTTAAATTCTTATGGTTTTTGTCATGGAAGACTTTTACATAAAGAGCAATCAATTTTTATAGCAATGCAGAAATTGCTGTTTATTATCTTTCAAATTTTTTCATTGTTAACTTCTATAGTTATAAATTATATGTGAATTACACAGTTGCAAATTTTTTTTTTTTTTTTTTTTTTTTTTGTTGTTGTTGTTGTTGTCTTCTTCTTCTTCTTCTTCTTCTTCTTCTTACAGATTATATGCTTATAAATATTTTTGACGGATTTTTAAATTTTAAATTACTTGGGAAAATATGAGTAATTCTCACCGTTTGTCGGCTATTGAGCTACAAAACATGTAATTTCCAATCCACAACAGTTTATTTTAAAATGTTGTAGGTTGATAAGCTAAAACCACATCTAAACATAAGTTTATTTCTAAAAAGTCAGGATTAAAGTTGGAATTTCCACAGATTTGCGACTATGGTGGGCCAAATGATAAAGCTGGATACAGGAGTGACATAGTGTTGCCCTTTCAGATGAGTCCCAGTTCTACGTGTAGCATTTTGATGGCCGTATACTTGTCTGGAGTGTATGAGGAGACCACATGTCGCTTGCTTGCATTCGATATTGGCATAGGGGCCATGTACCTGGTGTGATTGTTTGGGCAACCATTGGGCACACAACATGCATATCTCTAGTTCAAATTGATGGTAGTTTGAACGCAGATGGGTTTATTTCTGACATGTTATGTCCGGTGTTTGTGCCCTATCTTCGAGGTCCCCAAACACCATGTTCCAACAAGATAATGCAAGACCACATGTTGCACGTCATGTTCTGACCTTCCTCGATACACAGGATATTCAATTGCTGCCCTGGCATGCACAGTCTCCAGATTTGTCACCAATTGAAAGCATCTGGTCATGGGTTGCTAAGAAACTGGCTCGTCATCTTTCTGTGGCTAATACAAGTGATGAAATGTGGCATAGACTTGAAGCAGCATGGAATATGTTGCCCATTTCTGTCATCCAAGCCCAGTTTGACTCCATGCCTAAAGGGATAAGAGCAACTGTTTCTACTGATTTTGCACTCCTTAGTAAAATCTTATACAGTATTATTATAAAAAATGCAATACATTTCCCTCTAAGCCATACCAGTGGGAGCCTTTTTTTTGGGGGGTGAGCACATTTTCTCTACATCAGATGTGTTCAATTTGTCTTGCCTTCTTTCATGGTAAAGTTTCTTTTTATAGCAATTTATTTGATGTTGCAATTTACCATGACAGGAAGAATAAACTGTATTGTTTCTTCAAGCAAGAGATATTCTTCACAAGGAAATATACTGTTTCAAATATCTGTCTCATGAAAATAAATGTCTCAAAGCTGAAATGGTTTATGCAACCTTTGATTATGCCAGGAGGGGAAGGTGTCTGAACGCAATTTTTTTTTTTTTTACCTTGCATTACTTTTATTTCTGCCGCTTAATTAATTCATTTACTTACTGAAGTCAGGAATCAACATCTGTTGGATTTTGCAGACCAAACCTTGTTTCAAATGAATCACAGCACAATGGTTGCTTGGAATAATGACATTAGACAGGCACTATATGCAAATTCCTTTTTATCTTATTGCAATATTAAAATTGACAGATGCAACAAAATTGTGGAAATGGATAAAAATTTACCCACAGAAAGGAATAAATAGTGTAGATCATATTCTTCTTCCCTTAATGAATTTTGCCAGGGGGATTTTTAATCAAGAGTGCCCCTCCCGCTCTGTTCCTGATCGTCCCATTTTGTCTGGTATCAAGCAAAAAGCGTGGGGGGATCCAAATTTTACCAGTATGACTCCAAAAACTGCATGGTTTTAACAAAAAGAGTGGTTTTAGAGACTTTAATTATCAGCATGAGATTAGTAAACTCCCATGAATTACCATTATAAAAAGTTATTGTATATAAAGCTGAAAATTTATCTGCTAAGTTACAGATTGCAGGCTCAGATATTCTTCTCTATTTTCAGGGATACTTCGAATGTTTAAGAACTGAAATGATTGGACAAAACATTGATGTTACTATTGTATGTCCTGGCCCAGTATTTTCTCAGATTACTGATAGATGTGTTACTGGAAAACTTGGAGAAGTATGTTAATTATTCCTAAACTAAATTATATATCTGTAAGCTAACTGATGAATATAATATGTATTTGAAGTTATCTATCTATAATCAAAATTTTGTTGTATGGAATATAATCTTTATAGTACACATTTTGCAGAATGTATAATAAATAAATAAATAAAGCATTAGGATTAAATTACAAGGAGAGTCATATATTTAGAAAGGATGCTCAATGAAAATAGTCACAAGCTTCATTTCCTTAAACATTAAGCATATGCTTCAAATTTTAATATTTATGAAATATGATCTAAATCTTTTATGAATGTTCTGGATGGATTAGCATCTGTTAAAGCATTTCTTTCTTTTTTGGGAAGGGAGGTCTTCATCAAGTCGGATTGCTATTTGCAAAAACCTAGATTTTGCTTTAATTAATTAAAATAAAAATGTTTTTCATTTCAATATATAAAATTTGCGAAGATTTAAGAACAAATATGTTGTTTGGGGGATTTTTTCCATGCTGATTAAACACGCAGTTCAAGGCTTCTACAAGCAATTACAAATCAGAAGTTATATATTTTGGGGATAAATTTTTCATTTTACAAAGAAGGTGAATACAACATTGAACTCTCAGTTTTTCTCTAAAATATATATATATATATATATGAATCTGCTAATCTAGAAATACTAAATAGTGAAAAAGTAGGTCTTTGATATTTTACAGATTGTATAAATAATCAAGGGGCAAAAAATGTAGAGAACTCTTTAAGTAGTAGCCAGATCCAAAAGATGGTGCAACCAGTTTTCTACCTCTCATCCAGTTGGGCAAAGAATTTATGATTGACCCTGACAGTTAATATCTTGCAGCATCAGTGAAGCATTGAATTGACTTTGCTTATCCTGATTTTTCTGCAAATTAGCATGCTTGCTAAGGACATGGATTCCTGTCTGCAATTATTCTTTTATTTGTGTTGAGTGACTTACATGTGATGTTTATTTTTATTTATGTATATCTGTTAAATTAATATATTTTTAATATTAATAAAAGTAGTGGATGTAAAGCAGGTATGTATCTTTATCCGTACATTAATAAAAGTCTTTACAGAATGAGGGTTCTACAATCTGTACTATGATAAAATACAATAAAATGTTAAAAATGGACTTTTTGTTCACCGTTAGTGAACTTTCTAACAAATTTAATCTCCAGTGTGAACCTTATGATGAAATTTGAAAATACCATGAAATCTCGGAAATAATGCTGCATTGCCAAATTCAGTATATTTATAAATTTTTAAGTTTCATGTTCAGATTGATTTAGCAGTTAATTTCTTATAACATTAGTGCTTTTAAATGAGCAAAAGTACATATATCTTTTTGGATGTTTCTCATAATCTCAATATTTTACAATAAATGTTTAATCACTTTTCTGCAATTTGCATCATTTTAAACTCTAACTAGATTTGGGGGGGAACATATAGTTGATTCTATACCCTCAAAATGAAAGCTATAAAATTAACTGTTAAATTCCTATAGATGTGACAAAAACAAACAAAAAGGAAATAAAGTGTTTAGTCATCAAAGGGATTTGCTCTTTCTCTCTCTCTCTCTCTCTATATATATATATGTGTGTGTGTGTGTGTGTATTTTGATTGTATATACATAGATTCCAACTATGACCTATGAAAAATATGAGGAAAGCTATGGATTTAACAGAAAGAGGGTAAGGGAACTAATATGCAAAACAGAACCAACTAATTCATCCAATGATTAGCTAAATACTCATGTCATCATGTAACATGTGTTGAGTGTGTTGCTGGTTTTAAAGAGTAGCCAATCTAGATTAGTAAACTCCAACTGTTAATATCTGTGATCTAGCTCCTTGCAATCCCAGGTTCTTTGCTGCTGTAAAGGGGTTGTTTAGTTCTTACAGGATGTATTACGCGAACGTTTGGTCTGCTGCTGAGAGCGTAGCACATACATCTTGTCAGCTGTGATTCAGCTAGAAACTTCTTTATTAATTATACTGCCTTGAATGAAGAAGCTGAAATTATCACAGCATAAATTTAAAGATTCATATTCTTCAGAATTTCCATGCACTAAAGCATCCAAAAATTTTTTTGAGTCACACACATTGCAGTGTATGCAACAAAGATTTCTCAGTTGCACATGATGGAAAGGATGATTGTAAATGGCACGTGTTTTCTCAAAAGCATAAGGAACTTGTTACTGTAAAATTTAAAGAAGTAACAAATTTCTTCATAAATAATGAATGAAACAGATTTCCATAGTTTTTTCAATTTTTAATTTAACATAATCAATGAATTTCAGTTTCTGGCCATTCTAAACAGGTTTTCAATGCAATTTTTCTGGATTCTGCCATAGAAAAAAAAAAATTAGCTGCAGCCATACATGTACCACCAAAACTCTGCATACAGGTAACCATCTAATATGTTCATGCTAAAATTAGTATTGCAGTCTCACTTGGGAAAATCAAAATACTTCTTAGTGATTCTTAGGAAAAAAAAAAAAAAAAAATAAAAAAAAAAAAAAAAAAAAAAAAAAAAAAAAAAAAAAAAAAGATTGAAAAACAAGAATGATCATCTGTCAGCCCCATGAAAAGTCAATGTATACTTATAAAATAGAGTTTTTGAAGACCTTTTATTGTTAAAAAAGTAATTGCTCTAAGTGGGTGGGTTTTCTTAAAATTTATTTTTATTATTATTATTATTTATTTTATTTATTTATTTATTTATTTTAAGTAATTGTAAGCCTTAGTAATTGTGTTTCTACAATTACTTCTGGTTATTATTACTGGTTTATTTAGTATTTGAAATTTTGGATGCTTTTGTGATTCCATGGCAGGTAACATAAAAGAGATCGATATTGCTGAAAGAAAGATCATCATATATCTTTGGAAAAGAGGGAAATCTCTTAGAATAGTTGTTGAAACTCTTAATAGGAGATATTCATCGATTCAAAAGTGTTCAAATCAAGTTGACATTTAATGTCCAAGCCAAGATCTGGCCACTTGTCTGCACTGTCGCCTTGAGAATCCTGCTTTGTAATATGTTGTTGAACTGACTATTACACTGCTGTGCTTAGTTCTGGATTAGGGATGAAGCAGAGATATTTTGATTGTAGCATCTTGGTGAAATGCAACCTTGTAAAATGTGTTAATATGAATATCCTCTTGAGAGTTGGTGGTGGTTATAGGATCCTCTGATTACATCTTCAAAGTAGTCTTTGTTAAAATGGGGGCCAAGCATATGCAGATAATCCTTGTGTGTTATAAAGTAATTAAAAATAATTCAGTGTGTATATGAAGGCAAGAAATATTCATGTTCAGCAAATCCTTAAGAGATAGTTGAACAATGAAAAAATTACTCTACTTGAAATTTTACAGCTGTTGCATACACTTTCAAAGATGACATAACAGTAAATTCATGCTTTTCCCATCAGAGAAATGAAACTTGTTTAGATTTTGCTTTTGATGTATTTGTACTATAAAACTGTATTTGGGCTTAAGATTGGGTGATTTTGAAGACTGGACGTTTTAACCTTCCAATTTGTTATTCAAAAGAGACTTAATTTTTGTAATGAATTTATAGGGTATTATTCTATTGTGCTAAAAATAACCGTCTTTTATGAATAAATTGTGACAGTAGCCATATGCCAACATATCACAGTACAGTCAAAAGTCGTTAATCCGGACTCGTCGGGACATCGGCAATTCCGGATTATCGATTTTTCCGGATTATAGATCATCAGTTTAAATCTCGTAAGATGGCATGCAGGAATTCTAAAATTAAAAATATGAAACCATAATTTATGAAATAAAGAACAATTATGATCTATAGGGTATCAAAATTTACAAAAAAAAAAAAAGCTTAATATTTATTTGTTTACTTTATTAAAAATTTCTTTCAATGCAAGTTGTTTAAGTTGCTTCGTTTTATGTGATAATACTTTCACTTTAATTCTATAAACAGACATAATTTCTTGTTCAGTTATAAAATTCCGCTGTTCAAGTCTCGTAATTGCTGTGCCGAGACTACCGACTAACTTGTCAATTGAAATTTTTTTGTTTTCACTAACCTCTCAGTCACCTTCTTCATGTCTTTATCCATTTTTTGCAGCAATTCCACTTTTTGTTTGATGGACATCGAAACATACTTTCGTTTTGTAGATCCTTTGGGAGCTCCAGCATCAAAAATTCTATTTGACATAATCGAAAGTTCAAGTTTACTTTTATAAAATTGATCTTACAGTCTGCAAAAAATAATAAGCCGGATCCAATTCGAAGATTAAGGAACAACGCAATCATCAACATTAACTGAAATAAATAATTAGATAATTTTAGCTTATACCGTCCGTTATACATAAAACGCGCACGCGAAAACGTATTCTGCGCTTGCGCACATGCATATGCGCAGTCGTAAAGGTCTTACGCGCACGCGTAAATGCCTGTGTGCATGTGTCAACGCGCCGCATACGCAGAAAGTTTTTAGCTTTGAGGTCCAGATTATAGATCATTCCAGATTATGGGTGTCCGAATTAACGACTTTTGACAGTATACACAATTTTTGCTGTAGTGTTCTTTTTTTTTTTTTTTTTTTTTTTTTTTTTTTTTTTTAGCAAACATTTAAAAAAAAAATTTTAAATTTTATTTTTTCTCAAATGATGAAAATTCATTATCAGATATTCATGTTGTATCCTCCAATCATTAATCCTCTAAAAATATTCTAGTATAACTTGGGATTTTTTATTCATCCTGTGAATTTTTGTTCTCTCTATTTGCATGTACAGGATGATTCAGAAGGTCTCAGACAAACTAAGGTAGTTTAGAAATTCAAAAACAAACTATTTTTATGGAGAAAATGTAGCCATAAATGCCATTCAGATGGCTTAGAGGACAGAAAGAAATAAAAATTAAGTAATTTAAGTATAGTTATGCACATTTGTATTTGACACATGTATGTTCACTCTTTTTTTAGCCCGAAGAGGCAATTTGTCCTGAAGGACTATTATTTTCGTTTTGGCATTTTTCGTTGGTTACTATAGATGTCCTATTCACTTTTCAAATTGCTGCCACCATTTTTGCCATGTATTATATTTAAAGAAATTTAAAAAATGAAGAATCTGCAGAAATGTATGGATGTTTCTTGCATTGTGATAAAACAACATTACTTAGAGCCGTCAAATTTTGAATAACATACGTTTCCACCCGAATATGGTCATCTGGAAGCCCAAATTAGGAATTTGTTTTATTATCGATTTCATATTTTGTAAAACTTTAATAATGAATTTTTGATTAACAACTCAATGATTTAAAAGCAAGCAATGGCAACAATCTACCGGGAGAGACCCTTTTTACCTTCAGCACGCTGAACTGTGTATTGGAAATTCTAAAGGTATGCTCATTTTAAAATTATTTTGCGATATTGCTGTTGAATTGAATTTTATGGTTAAAGTGCGAAGAACATGATATTTAATGAATAAAGGTAACACAAAAAATGTAAAAAAAATTTAAAAAAAAAAAAAAAATATGCTTCTTTGGACCCTATTTCGACCTAAACTGAAGTGCTTAGAATTCACTTTAGTTTCATAGAGTCTACTCTGGGAAACACACAAATGTTTAATGAAGAACCTACTGTTTGTGAAACAATTGCATCACAGATTGTTTGTTTCCATTTGCTACATCTTAACAGGGTATCTCCATGTGATAAACAAAGTGCGTAGCAATTACTTCAGTATTACCGTAACTATGTGTTCTGCAACATCGTGCACTGTGAATGTTAACAACTGACACTCCCCAGTACAGTGTGTGACAAACAGAGTAGAGGTTTACATTAAAATGATGTAAAATGGCAACTTGCTTCATCAGTAGGGATACATAACCTTATGGTGCGACACTTTTTCAGCTCCTGTTGATGGCATCATACTTGTTCTTTTATCTACCTCATCAACTATAGTGTCACTTGACATATTAAAGAAGACCAGGATTTCATCAGCATCACATACTGTCCTAAGCTATCGTCATTCTTAAGCTGAAAGTGTATTTCTGAAATGCAAGGAGTTTCTCTTTGTGGACCTCAGGAAGCTGCTGCACCATTAAATCTGATGCCAAATCTTGAGTTGTGCTGTGCTACAAAGTTTCTCATCTTACTAAACTTGCCCTAAATTCACTTTCAGAAATTTCGTACTTTGGCCAGTCCTTAAGGCTTTGAACTAACACTAATTAACTTTATATTAATCATTTAAGCATCATTTGAGCAGGTATAAAAAATCCATTTGATTCATTTAATTGAATTGCATGGATATATCTCAGGTTATTTGCTTCAAGTTAAACAAAATGATTGCTAGTGTTGTACCAATTTTTTAAAAGCATCCTTTGTTTGAATCAGACATTACCTATTTTCTTCATCTGCATGCAACTGCTTTCTTTTATTTTTATTTTTTTGTACATAATGCACCACTTTGTATGTCCGATTTCTCTATACAACTCATTCTGACTTTACCTGTGTTTAGCACATACTAAACAAATGCTTAACAATAAACATTAGATATCACTTCATTCCTTTGTCTGGAATTTCAGTGTTGCCATATTTCTATTTGACCACCTCTATTCTTGTCCCTTAGCAAAATTTTGAGATTTTTCTTCCCCCCCCCCCAAAAAAAAACATATTTCAGAAATAGGATGCAGTCTGTACACACATACAACATAGTATGAGTATTTATGTAAATGTAATGGAAAATTTTTTACATTTTAAAAAAAGAAATCTTTTAAAAATAATAATTGAGAATATTTGCATTGTTGAAAATGTTCTATGAATGGTAGTTATGCTAACTTTATATATTAAATATGTTTACGTAAATTTTCAGAAGTTTGATCATACTCAGAAACCAACGGATAGAAAAATGAAAACTGATCGTTGCAGTGAATTAATGGTTTCTGCAATAGCCCACAAGTTAGATGAATGTTGGATATGCATACAGCCTCTTCTTAATTTGTTTTATTTAAGCCAGTACTGCCCAACGGTGTACAAAAGGTAGTATGTTTATTTAAATAGGAGAAATAGCTATAAATTTTCTCTTTTGATGTCTGTAGTAAAGTAAGTTGCATTTTGTCTTCCCATTTGTGTAAGTTGACTGAAAATTTTGGATTATAATTTATAAGGTTTTTCTGTATGATTAATGAATCATTATAAAAACTTAATACTTTAAACTAATATTAACTTTATGTTAAACTTTGTTATTTTTTATGTTTATTAACTTTATATTAAACTTTTTAAACTTAATTGTTAAATTAATAATTTTTGTATAATATTTCAAATCCTAAATCAAATGCTATTTGTGCATATGGTAAAAAAGTGCATTTTCTTCACAGTTTTAATGAATAATACTCTCTTATAAAGGTGTGCTTCTAATTAAAAGTTGGATGAACTAATTGTAAATTTATACCAATGATCTCATTTGAAGGTGGATGCTTGTCATTTAAATTATCTGAAATTCAATTGCCCTTTCTTTGGAAGATGCTTAATTAATTCTTAAAGTTATTTGGGATTTGATTTTATGTTTAAATATTTACAACCAACTTAAAACACAGTTTTAAATCATGTTGGTTTTTTGTGTTTTAATATATCATTATGTCATAATGAAAAGAGTTTAACATAGTTAAAGGGTAATGGAAAATATTACCAATTTCAAATTTGATAGAGTGCTTAGTAAACTTCATGAATTATAATATGTCCCTCTCTCTTTCATGATACAATAAATGTCTGCTGTTTGATCGTATTCAAGCCAGAATTTCAGTGTTATATAAGTTCTCTGAACAATAATATAGTAATGCATTATTGCCTTGCAGTAACAAAAATATCACAATTAATCGGCTCTTAACATGGTCCTAAAACATAATTTTCCCTTAGGGAGGATATTTTTGGCTTAGCCTTTTTTAAAGTGTACTTTGTTTAGCTTTACAGTCAAAAGTCGTTAATCCGGACTCGTCGGGACTTCGGCGATTCCGGATTATAGATTTTTCCTGTTATAGATATCAGTTAAATCCGTCGATGGATGCAGAAATTCTAAAATTAAAATTGAAGCGTATTATTAAAAAAGAGCAATTAAATATAAAGGATTATCAAATTACAAAAAAAAAAAGGCTTAATTTTATTGTGTACTATTAAACATTTATTAAAGTACGGGTTTAAGTTGCTTCGGTTATGTGATAATACTTCTCTTTATTCTATAACAGACAATTTTGTTCAGTTACAAGTTCCAGGTTAAGTAGTTAATCGTTGGCCGAGAATACCGACTAACTTATCATCGAAATTTTTCGTTTTCACTAACCTCTGTCACTCTTCATGTCTTTATCCATTTTGCAGCAATCCACTTTTTGTTGATGGACATCGAAACAGACTTTCGTTTTGTGCGATCCTTGGGCCAGAATCGGAAATTTGTTGAAAATAGAAAGTCAAGTTTTACTTATAAAATTCTCTTCAGTTGACAAAAAATAAGCGGATCCCTTCGAAGATGACGCAATCATCAACATAACTGAAAGATATTTTAGAGATACGTCTTATAAAAAATGCGCAGCGAAAAGTTACTCTGCGCTTGCGCACAACATATGCGCAGTTAAAGGGTCTTATGCGTAAGCGAGTAAACGCTAGCGCAGTGTCAACGCGGGAATGTGCAGAAGTTTAGCTTGAGGCCGGATAATAGATATTCGCTTATGGGTGTCCGAATTAACGACTTTTGACTGTATTTACTTTTGCAACAATGGTCTGTTAGATTTTCTATGAATATTATGTATAAGCATTGATTGAATGTACATAGAGGTATTCATTAAAATGCAAAACAACATTTAAAAGAACCCATATAGTGATTTAAGACTTCATATATTTGTATCCATAGTGATTAACTTGATGAAACATGGATAAACTACTGCAACTGTATGGGTACTGAACTTCTAAGAACTTAAAGAGCATACTACTTCTGTGTACTAGATGTCACTTGAAGTCACTGGAAGTGTAGCCCTATCTGTAGATTTTAGGATTTTAGACTGAAAAGTTGTAACTCGCTTTTTTTTTCCCCCCATTTTGCAAAGTGGGAACTTGCCACATAACTTCCAATGTGTGGGAATGTTAACTGACATGAATAAGGAGGGATGATTTTAATGTTCATATAACCAACTGAATGTAACACATAAATTAGGCTGTTCGGTGAGAGCTGAAACATCATCAGACCTAGTAACAAAGTCATTATGTTGGTAAAACTGTTGCAAGTTAATCTTTAAGCTTTTTTTTAATCTTTAATTTCTTTATAAAAATAAATAATAGGATGAATATTTAGCATGACTTATGACTCAACATTAGTAAAATAACCCCACATATTAATAAACTGTATAGGCAGAATCAAATGTACCTATCTCATTCTGATTACTTAGTAAAATGTTTGTAATTTTATTACATTTTTAAATTACTTGTAAATAAAACATCTAAGAACATGCTGAATATTTTATGAATATTTTACTTTGGTCTCATTGTTATATTATACAACTGGTAATTTCACTCATCTGTACAACAGGTAAATCTACATACATACGAATATATATATGTCCAGGGAGCACTTGAAGTAGAAAAGCTGGAAAAATTCTGCCTTGGAGAAGAAAATCATATAATATTACAAAAGTTGGTTGTGGTAGCTATGTAGAAATTGACTAGTTATTGGCAACCTACATATTTAATCCACCTGTTAGGTAATTTTTCAGTAAGTCAGTTTCTACCTTTTAAAAGGGGGGTAGAACCACATCTAATTTCTTCAAGGTTTGATGCATAACCACAATTATCACTCAGGTAGATTAGGCAGTCTGGAATGTATATGGGTTGAATTTAAATTTATATGGGAGAATAAAAATTTCCTGCATTTATGGAGAGAGGATATTCAAGAATTTGCAAGGTTTGTGAAAAACTGTTGTGTATCACTTCATTAATTGTTAAGTTACCTGAACCCTTTTCATTGTGATACATTAAAATCCTAGAGTTCAGTGTGTTTCATCTAGTGCTGTGCTCTGATATTTTATTGAAATGTGGCATAGAATCAGATTAAATTATTTTAACTTTAAAATTCTGTCTCAGAAAGCAATAATTGAAAGTAAATCCTATGAAAAACAAAATATAAAAAGGTCAGTTACCTACTGTACATTTTCTGAAAAAATAAAAGCCAATATGGGAATTTATACTTTGTGTTTTGAAGTTTTTCAGGAATAGGAGTTCATAGCTATTACTGCTGTTAAGTTCAAATCCAAGCTGTATTGCAAAATTTTGATATAGTATTTTTTTATTAGAAATGTGATTTAACTTAAAGGCATAAGATGTTAAAAGTTAGAATACCTTTTAAAAGCCAAGACTTAGCTGACCAACTTAACTTACTTTGGAAATATTTTTTATAAATCCATAGAAGTATTCCCTTGAGATTTGCTGTACAAAACACTATATTTTTAGAAAGAAAAAAGTCTAATAAAAATTATAAATTTACCATTATGTAAGGTTGGTGAGATAAAAAAGTGTATTTAGTGTTTTGTCTTGTATAGAGTATTTTACATATTCCAGTAAGATGCAGTCAAATTAGATGTAAGAGATGATGAAAAATAATAGTTTTTTCTTGTTCTAAAGTTACATTATTTAACCAAATTGATATCCAGTCAACTACTCAAAAGATAGTTTTGAGCAACATGTAATGAAACAATAAGAGTTTAATGAAAATTTGAAAGAACATTTTTAAATTATTAATAATATTCTATTCTTTCCCCCCTTCCGCATCTGCCATATATGTGCAATAAAGTTTATTCATTTTATTGCATTAAATATTTGATTTAAAGAAAAAACTCCTTTCAAAATATCTTAATTGTGTTAACCAAAAATTGCTTTTATGCTTATTTTTAGTATGTGTTGGAAGATAGTTTGTCTCAAATTAAATCAGACTCAAAATATTTCAGATAACACATTTTCTGGTTTAATAATCTATTACATTGATCATTTTGCTTTTAAAGGAGACAAAGTGCCCCATTTGCTGTGGTTAGTGTGGTCTTGGACTTGTTATCAGTTAAGTTTATCTGAATCTACTTTGAGCAGTGAACTTTAAGTCAACAGACAATAATATTTAAATATCATGATAAAAGTGCACATGAAATGTTATCATGATATGTAATGTTGAAGATATCTAAGACTGTTTCGTCCTGCTCTGAGAATTTTAGGCTGTTGCAT